GTCCAAACCTGAAAACATCTGATGCATCGAGAAACAAACATCTGCCAACAAAGTCTGAAGACTGTTGAACAACTAGAACCTTCCATCAGAACAGAATGGGACAAAATTATTCAGAATCTACAGAACCTCCAGCAGCTGGTCTCCTCAGGTCCTCCAGGACCTCAAGCAGCTGGTCTCCTCAGGTCCTCCAGGACCTCCAGCAGCTGGTCTCCTCAGGTCCTCCTGGACCTCCAGCAGCTGGTCTCCTCAGGTCCTCCTGGACCTCCAGAAGCTGGTTTTGATGTTTTCAGGCTGTTGTTAAAGGAGGAGGGGAAGCATCTCACACATTTAACAATCATTTAATTCTGTCTTTGTTTACGTTTTACTTGTTGTTCCACGTTTGTTTTTAAATAAAGTTGTTGTTCTGGTCGGTCTTATGATCCGACTGAAAATGAGCAGGTCTGTAAAAAGTTCTGTGGGTCGTGTGTGACTGTCCACAGGAGTGTTCTTAATGTTTACCTAGTAGGTGACACTTTCTGATTTATGAGAGTGTTGCTCTGGTTACCACAGGTCTGCCTGACTGAAACACATTTGGAGGATTAGCTGCTGTATAGATGAAGGAGGTGCTGACCCGGTTCTGTTGGAGACAAATCTCAGGAGCCCGATAATGAACCCAAACAGGCAGCGAGCACCTGGAGCTCAGACATGATGAGAAGCTTTCAAAGTGCTCTTATTTTGTTAAAACTGATCATTTAGTTTCAGCCCTCTGCTACTGAAGCCCGTCAGAAACATCCAAGATCAGTAGAGGGAGCTCATGGCCGTCCATCTGCATTCATTTGTTTGTCTGTTAGCAAAATATCTCTGAGAACATTTTAATGAAACTTATAAAAAGTAATGAGTTTAATGTCCCTAAAAAACACAACAAATGGCTTCAACTTAGTCAGTTTCACTGATAATGACCCACAATTTGGTGTGGTAGTAGCTGAGAGTTGTTCACTAAACACTAGATGACACGTCATGTCCGACCTTCTCAGCTCCAACTCTGTCGTTCCTCTAGAGAAGCTGGACAGGAACGTTAGGAGTTCTACGCCTTAGTTTGTAATTTTTGTATTTTAGCAGGATGTCCCGTTGGTTACGTCCCGTTGGTTACGTCCCGTTGGTTACGTCCC